ATAGGCTAAAAGGGGCGCACAGACGCATAGCTATCTGCTATTACACGTAACAATACTAAAACAATGAAATAATAATAGTGTGCATCCAACCAAGGCAAGCACAAGAAGTTCCACGAGCCTAATGCTGATTCCGATGACATACGCCACTAGATGTGAAAACAATCGTTATAGCATTCATCCATTTTACAGTACATTTGTGGTCAAATGTTGAAAAAGAAAATTGTATTTAATATTCTTTCTTATAAAAATACACTATTTTGTATTGACTATTGTAGTCCATAAGGTAAATGTTACAATGCTTGGCCATCGTAGTAGGCCAATTTCCAAAGTACTCTATATATATTGAAAAAAAAAATTTTCAAGTCTTAATGTGAATTTATTGATAGTTGTTACATTAATCTAAGCTACATCCAGAAGAAATAATTTTTTGCAAACACAGGGAAAAAGTTTTTCTTAATTATTTGAGTTGGTCAAATGTCTCATTTCTTGGCCACTGTAGAACAGGGACATTATACTATCAACGAAACTAAACCGTAGTATATAAGGTAATGTTAAAACCGAAGAAGAAGTATCAACTTTCAATGATTAAAAAAAATAATAATCATGAGTTTTTCTCACTTAATAAATTACGATATGTGTTGTTAGCATTGTTTAAAGTATTGAACAATTTTTCAAAAGTGAATGACAAATTAAATGTTCTATTTAAGTTTTTATAATATTTTTAGTGTATCAGTGTATAAATTTGTTATATTATTTGAAAAGTTTTAAATAAATATCATGTGGGTTTATTTATTTGTTTTCTATTTATTTTTCCTCTATACTTTTTCGATTTAAATTTGCTTATTTACCCTGGAACATGGTAAAAGAAAGGCTACGTGTGCTCATTCTTCTTGAAGAAATACTAAAACAATAACTTCAATTTAAAGTCGATGAAAAAATAACGAAAAAAATGTAAAATTTTTACAAATACGTGTTACAAGATCTAAATTTACTTCCTCAAAAGAATTGTGTAGACGCCGAACAAGATGTTTGCTCATTATAAAACACTAAGTCAAGAAACTCTTAGTTGTACATTACATAGACATTACTATATTATTCGTTACTTTATGTTGCAAGTAAAAATTGTTATTTTTTCTTTTATTTTTCAATCATACAATGACTTTTCTAAATTTAATTTTGAACTTTTCATTATAATATAATATCTTAGATTTGGCCAAATTTTATCGTTATAATACATGAAAAAAGTATTGTTTTGTAAGGTGTTTCGTTTTATAAATTAAAATTTTTAACTTTTACAGAAATCGAATCATCATATCATCAATAAGTTCAGATTAAATTGACGTTATCAAGATACTTGTAACCATTGAAATTTGAATATCGGCACGATATGCGTAAAATCAGAATGCAAGCGAATGTGTCAAAACTGTTTCGTGGACGATAAGTTCTCCAAGAAACAATAAGAAAGAGAGGACTATTGCTTGCGATTAGAGTTGAAGGGTCTCTCTTCTCTCGGGGCCTGCCGTCCAAGGTGAAAGTGTCGAACTGACTCGATTGTGACCTGACACATGTCCAGCTATAAGCGCTTAGAGCCTGAAGTAGTACATTGTCGTGGCGAATTTATTGACCATCGCTTCATTGTTTTGAACCTGCTTTATTTCTAGTTATTCTAGAAAATCATTCACAAATAGACTTGTGAGATACACAGTCACCAGGTCATCGATATGCCATTAACCTGAGAGAATCGAGCATTTATTGCACCTATCACCAATTAGAAATTAATAATCACTCGTGTATGCGAAACTGTTATCTATTATTCCACGCAGTTTACTATAAAGTGCTGTTACAAATTCCAAGTTCATCAAAATTTGGCTTCTAAACTCAATTTCCACGAGATTTCCTTAGGGTGTATTATTTCATTTTTTATAATTTAAATAAATACCATTCAATCATTTTTTTTTTTTTTTTTAAATATTACAGTTTACTGACCTACTATGGGTATGTGCACTTCCCTTACCTTTATTTATTGAACATATATTACCTTTTACATAGTACAACATAAGTATCATCATCATATATTATAATCATTATACATTTTCTTTTATGACGTCATTACATTAGTTCTTTAATCGCACGTATTGCCTTTATCTCACCGGTCACGCATAACCAGATACCAATAGCTTATCCCTAATCATTTTTTTAATTGCTTTTTTAGAACAAAGTTCTTTATGTCGCGTAGTGGGGGGGGGGGGTGGAATTTTAAAAACGACAGATTTGTATACATTTTTTGGCTGGAGAGTTTTTTTGAGCAATAATTTTTTGGCAACGTCAAGGAACTGAAAGCATGTGAAAAAATGTTTAATAACAAAAATAAGAGCAAATTTTATAAGACATTTTTTTACGAAATTTCCTACATTACGGGGATTTTTACAATAGACTCTCAAGTTATAGATATTTAAATTGAGTGAATAAAATAACATTTGACATTAGTGGACAGAAAATCGACGACTGTAAAAAGTGGATTAATTAACTTGTATTATGAAAAGATTAAATTGTACTTTTTAACTTTGAATTGAAATGACTAAAACTATAAGAAATACGAAATTGTTTTAGCTAACTATTCGTAAATGATATAGATTATGTAATAAAAAGCCATCATTCATTCCTTCTCTTTTGACATTTTCTTTTATTGTCTATAACCGTGAGTCATTCGATATTTTAAATTTTGGTTACAGTCTGTACGTCGAGAACTCATTCGTTTTTTACAGGAATCCAGATACATAGAACTTCGTCAGAGCAAAGTCTTGCCTTAATGCTATTCAAGTCGCACTCATCTGGAATGTTATATTTTATAATGAGTTGTAGGAAAGCATTTACAGAGTCGTCTTGCTCATTTTTTTTGATTCCCGTTACTGTAATGGATCTATCAGTGACCTAAAATTAAACATTTTTCTTTATTAACACTTGAAAATTTTTAATTCCGAGCATCAGGAGACGTAAAATTGTTTACGCACCACGTTGAGGAATTAAGAAATGCCTCGATTTCATATTTACTATTTATTTAGAGGAAGTCTGGAGCATTCTTAATCTCACTCACAAAGTGAAATCATAAAAATTTATCGCAGAAGTTTATATAATTAAATATTTTAAAAAAAACGAGAAAAAGACATGAGCAAGGAACTTAATACTTACGACAACGTTAACTGAATCTATGATGAATTCCGTGCAATCAATTTTTTTCACGTCCTACAAATATACCACTTTATTAAATTTCCAAGAAATAGAAAAATAATAGTCATACGCCCTACGGGACAATAGTACGGTATAGTTCCATCGGGTCGTGTGAACACCCCGAATTCGATACCGTACTTTCATCCCGTGTAGCGTATTCAATTTTTTACCTCCCTTCAACAAAATTTTCAAGATAGAGAGCGTAGCAACCTTCCAAGTAAAACTCGCATCATCTGCCTTCTATAAAAGTATTTTGGCTAAATCTGCGTATAAATTGTATCCTAATACTTTTGTATGAGCAGAGAACGCGAGTTTTTACCTAAAAGGAATGTTGCGCTTTCGTTCCTGAAAACAGGTATGAAACATCGTCTTTTGGCGGAGGGTATAATGAATTAATATTTGAGTATCATAGCTCATGGCCTTACTTTAGCATTGAATTTTGATGACGAATGAGCGCTTAATTCAACATCCAACTTTCTTGATATGTTGCTGGAAGACGTGATCTGATTACCCGCATAAACTGCCTGTCCAAACAAGACTGTTAATTTCACACCTGAACCTTCTAGGCCTGACGGTCCATCATTGCAATCGTCCATGGACATTTTGATAAAAATACTAGAATATAATAGCGTAAGTGTTAGTCTGAATAAGTCTGAGGAGTCACTGGCGAACAACAAAGTAGATTCTAGTGTTACTACGTGTCGCGTGCGTTACATCACTGCCGTATTTAGGAAGATACGTGCATCGGAGTAGAGCCCACGAACAAAGAATGACGAATAGGTGACACCAATCAACACTATTCGATGTACGTGTGCTACTTTTTTGGGATGAGTTAATTAAACGATTAGTAAGATTTATCTTTAGACTTAGAAAGTTGATTCATGTGGAGAGGAGAGCACGTCTTTTTCCGAATATCATCGCCATAAATGATTTCTGAAATTAATAATGACGCAAAAAATTGCCGTTATCGAAAAGGAAGCATAATTGTGCTAGCTTGATCAAAACTTTCATCAATTTTAGTGTTATGATCGATTAAACCTATAGGACAATTGCAGTACCTTTGATCGTTTTATACTACGTCTGTAGCAGTCAAGACATCTTCTGTTACTTCTGACGGTACCATATTTTTTTTGTTCAAATCAACGCGTCCTTCAAATACAATGAGGCCTCTGTTCGTTAGAAAAACAATTTTATTCTATGAAATATACATCCATATAAGTAAGAAGGAGATGGAGTTTTAAAAACAAAATAAATGATATCACATTTGTCAGAAGATATGACAATTTTGTCGTTTCAACGAAAAAAACCAATACAGTATACGTACTTTTCAAGGTTTAAAGTTCAATTCATGCAGAATTCGTAAGTTTTTTGAGTAATACTATTAAGTTTATATAGAATGTAATATTAATAAGGGTAATCTTAACAAGAAAAATTCAAATGAGTATGATGCACAGATGTTGTAAGAAATTAAAAGAGTAATATATAGTGTCAATGAGTTTTTCATGTTACGTTAACTTGTTATCTTCAACTTGCAAAGAAATTATATTGTTACTGGTAATGTTACTATTATTATTATTATTATTATTATTATTATTATACTACAAACAAAATAGA